TAGTCTCCTTGCTTGTATGAAGGTCATCATATGGAACAACAATGAAAACGGCAGTTGGCATGCTCAAACAGTTTATTGATGATGGCTGAACAGCAGCTACTTGACATATGTCCACATCTACAAAAATCAGTAATATCCAGTCATGTTTTCCCATTCATGGAAAATTTATTATCCACAGACATAGAGGTACCCAATGTAGAGATATAAATAAAAGGATATAGCATAATTATCAACTTCCAAATATTTTATGTTACAAATATCATTCCTCAGGTGAACAAATCCATAAATGCATTTCAAACAAAAAAAGTACAATTTTAAAATGCAACCTACGAGTAAAATATAGTATTTATCACAAATTGTTTAATTTTCTGTTTAACCTTCATAAGCCTGTGGTCAAAAACTTACACTAAGTACCGAGTGGGGTGCAAATGTACCACAACGTTTCTTAATCTTATTTTTTTTAATTTGTGATTATAAATATATATTTCAGTAGGTCTGCTGTAAACATTGAAAAATAATCACATTTGGAATTATAATATAAAGAAAAATTATCAAGAAAAGTTAATATATCAGAATCTGTGACATTTTAAATAAGAATTTAATTATTATACTTGTTACAAACTGTTACATTTTTTCAATGTTCTTCACATACATACCGATTGCCCCGAATACAAAACTTTCGGGATTTCCTGTCTTTACGTCTGTCGCATAAGAAATATCGCTGCTGTGTACCAATAACGGGAACAGGCTGTTCATTACTTAACATTTAATTCAGACAAAATGGTTGACGGATTGTTTTATATTGGAATGTCAAAGTTTGTCATTATGGTACATACGAATTATAGTTTTCCCTATTAATTATTGGCCCAACTTCAACAAAAACATTGTTCTTCTGTAGAAACGATTTTTTCCAATCTGGATTTTTCAACGCCCATAGCTTATAGGCGTTGAAGCCACCAATGACCAATAGATAGAAAAATATTGCCATCGGACACCGATTACTCTTTGAGTTAAAATAAGTATTTTAGAAAATACCCCCAAAAATTGATGTCTTTGTTAACAAAAGTGCTATGTTTAAAAACTGCACTGTCATGACTGGACCCTGGTGGCCTTATGTCTACCATGGTAAAGCAACAGGACGCATCGCACGTGGCCATCGACATACGGCTGAATGATTTTTTATAGTTAAAATAGTTACTACCGGAACGTTTTGGAGCCTGCACATGGACGTGCTTACCGCCCAAAGCACCCAAACGATTCGGCATATTCCATTTTGATGTGAAGTCTTCCACAATACTTTGCTATTGCTCCCACCTTGCAGGTGTCCTTAATTATATAGTGGACTGTTGACTTTCCCACATAGTAGTCCCAGGCTAGTTGTTGCATGGAACAGCCTTCCGATAGCTAAAAATAAAACCATTAACATTTCTGTATCTACTGGGTAACTTTTTAGGGAGGGCTTGGTCCATCATTCTGATATTTCACATGGGCTCAAACATGTTAAATAAAAACACCTGCTAAAAAAAGTATGCTCCTTATTTGGACCATATTTTTAACACTTCCGGGTAATTCATTACTACCTGGATACAAATAATACAGTTTTTGAATGGAATACCCACATCTCCCTGCCGATTTGGATATGCCATTTCAAACATGAATGCATTATCCCTTTTGTAATTCTATTAATAAATGAATTTGTCCCCTTACAAAGATGTTGTTGGAGGGTATAATATTTATATATCCATTTTACTAGCTCACAATTGGAAGCAACTTTCACACATCTATATAATGTATGCAACATATTTGCATGTTTAAAAATATGTTGCAAGTGAATTCCTGGCGGGACTATGGGTACTTAAAAATTGACAAATGAGTTTTTGTTTAAAGATAAACTAATAATAAGCTTAACAAATAAATTTAACCACCTGCAACTATAAAGCACATAACAACTGCAAATGTTGGGTTGTCTTTTTTCGCTAGGCATCACTACTGAGTTGGCAGGTATAGACTGACATGTTGATACTAGTTATTTGTACCAAATTGTTTAATAAATAAATATTATATGCAAATAAACACTTTTTCATTGCCAATATATCCATTTGCATATAACCAACTTTTCATTGTGAACATGATGATATTGGGGTTGCAAAAAACCTGTGTGTTGTTGAGACAATATATGTCATCTATGTATGACTGTCCTATTTTATAAGAACTAAAAATTGAATCAAGTTCCAAGTAGAAACTGTTGATGATACTCCTACATTCAATGTAAATTATCAAATACACAGATCCTTCCACATACCAAACACATGACAATTGCCATTCATTATCAATTTTAGCTACCCTCACTGCTATTTATTTCTCAACCCGTATTGACGCCGTCTCGCTCCGATATCCTGTGTTAACCTAGCACCTCATCCTTCTTCCCAATAGCAACATGCATCGATCATCACGATTATCAAACTTTCTACTACATCGAAGTCTTGTACCCATTACCCAATTCCAGCTGTAGCGATCAGCTGATCCACGCCACTGATACGATTGGTCCGTTCTTAAGGAAAAGTTCAATATATTGAACTTTATCTTAAGAAATGACCTTAAGTTTTAATGTGTCATTAATTAAAGAAAAATCAGTTCAGCCAATTCTGAAGTGTTTGCTTTTTTTTGTTTATAAATAGGCATCTTTGGTCAAATCAATGAATTCGCCAGAAATTAAAATTCGAGAATGGTTACAACACATTCTCGTCGCTCCTGCAAAATGTGTTGCTATCTCCTGGTTTATGATAGCAGTATAGATGTCCTTCTCTCATCATGCTTTATTGTTTGGCTTATGATCAAAACCACATATTAGATTATCAAGAGTCAAGTAATTGAGATACTTTCAACATTCAATTTTCCAGAAATAATGCATTGGTACCTGTGAGAGATTCCCAAACACTAAAAAGTTCCTAAACATTATGTACAATGGATTTACAAGGTTTTAAACAAAGCTCTGAGATATCTAAAACCTATGGATGCCTATAATAGCCATATGGCAAGACATCATGCACACATCACATAGGAAAGCAGCTATACCAACAATAGACTGGAGACATCATCAGCCAATTCCACCAAAAGCTACCACCAGTGATGATTGGTAAGTTTGGCATTTCACACTTTAACCAAATATTACCAAATCTTTAGAATGTACTTAAGTTGGGTGGGAGGATCATTTTTATTAATAATTAACTTCTGAACCAAAGTATATATGTAATTGGTTCTGACTGTGAAAACAACTAGCCAGTTGGAAGGACATATATCTATAAATATTTTTTTATCCATACTTTCTCCATTATTATAGTTTTCATATAGTTTCTCCTCCGAGTTTTGAAGGAATTGTATGGTTTTAGATCATCCTTCAACTTCTGCTTTGCTACCAATACACAGTTAGTGGACACTACATCTTTGGCTACTACCTCTACATAGCAAGTAAGTCTAAAGTGGAATATGCTGTGTGAGTCCGTTTAAGCAAGTAAGCATAACGATATCGAATGGATGAATCAGGCCAATTTAACAAAAACATTTATGTTTAATCATTCAGACAATTTTTACTGTTTTCATTAGATATCTGAACATTAGAACAGTCTCTTGATTTATGAGTGCAAACTAAATTTTAATGAGTTAACCCTATCAATCATATGAATTCATATTCATTTATGAATGAAACATATTGGGTTGAGTTGGAAAAAAGAAAAACTTTCATCCAGCCAACCATCTGTCTCATGCTTTTTGGAAACTCATCAGAATCTAGGCTGGGTCTCAGGTGGGACAGTAAAAGCAAGCCGAGCATCTCTTCTCTATCCAAGGTGTAAGGTCTCTCAAAATATGACAGTCTAAAGTGACATCTATTACCAGTCTTGCTGTGGTCAAGTCTAGTAATAGATGGCACTTTCTGCTGTCTTATTTCGATTGACTCTCCAAATCTTGTTTGGCTTTCTGATGATGTTTGGTCTTTCTGACAAGACCAAAATGTGTTCAAAGGACTCAAACACGTAAGATATTTTAGCAATATTAGACATTGCGTTCAAAATATCATAAGATACTCAACATATGTGAGTAATTGGTAAAATTTATACGAATTCATGGGAAATACCAAGTCAACCTTCTTGACGTCATTTTTAACTAGTACACTGCCACGCAAAATTAACCAGACAAATTTTTACAGACGAGTCTCGTTTTATGAGATATTCCCCTGATCGTCGCCAAAGAGTGTGGAGAACGCTATGCTCAAAGTTGTTTTGCTCCTAGAGTTCAATTTGGTAGTGGAGGAGTGATGGTATGGGGAGGTATTTCTTTGGAATCCCACACAGATCTTGTTTCACTACGAGGAGGACACCTTATTGCCGACAGGTACATTGTAGAGTGTTTGGAAGAACATGTGGTTCTCCTCATATGCCCTTTATAGGAGAAAATTTTGCAAGATAATGCTCGGCCGCATATAGCCAGAATGACTAGGCAATACCTCAACCCCAAGGAGTCCGGATCTCAACCCCATTGAGCACATGTTGGATAAATTAGAAAGAAGGCTCAAGCAGAACTAAGGAGAATTTCAAACTGTGGCAAAATTAACGAAATTGATACAAAGGTTAACAAGTTATTTCAAATTTAATTTGAACAAAATTATTTTGTTTTTCCGGTTAATTTTGCATGGCAGTGTGTATTCCATGTGATCGCAGCTTTCTTTAACTGTGCCTCAAGTCCCGTGTCCAGAACAACTACATAACAGACATGTAACCAGAGATATGCAATTGACACCTAGAGCCAGGAATCTATATAGTGTTCCATGAGTGAAATGCTAGGTAGTATGGACCGAGACGGAAATACAAAGCAATTCACGCTAAATCGCTAATATCACATACCTCAGTCACTATAGACTGATCTTGATGAAATTTTGCACAATATCTATATATATATATGTTACTTACGTACCTAAAACTAGTCGGAAGATTAAAAATTCAAGGCGCGATTCATTTTTTATTATTTAAATTTTAATAATAAAAATAATGATATTTAATGATGTTGGGCATGCAAAAGCATTCACATAAGTCAAAAAGGAAAAACTTCCAATGGACAAAAAGTAAACACTCAGCATTAATACTAAATAAAACAAACCGGACACATTCAAAAGATAAAAATAATACTGACAAGTTCAAATCACACGTAATTATACTAAAATATATAAAAAAAGATAAAATATAATCATTGTATATGTCACTGAAGTCATTGACTAGAGAACTATCAATACTATAAAAAGCTTCCTGCTTTAGATATGGTGACAGTGTAGTCTGGACCCAAATAGCACAAAGACGTCTCAAAGATGTGTTTAGGACGTCCGATCTCAACTTTCGAGACACCTTAAAGACGTTTGCAAAAGTCTAACAGACGTCTTTTAGAGACCGGTTGTTACTAATTAGAACGTCTTTAAGACATGTTGTTTTGGTCTATTGTTCTTAAACTGGCGTTCGAGACATAACATGGACGTCTCGGATGCGTTTAGGGACGTCTCGTAGGCGTCATACAGTTGTCTCTCTGGCGTCATAGGAACACCTTGCCTATAATCCTTCACAGACATATACAAAGCTCTTTACAGCCACAACTGGATGGATTCTTCTGTTTGGTTTCTCAGGACTCCCACCTTAGCGTTTTCTGCAGCACCTGCAGTAAGTTTATTAGCCTGAAAATATAAAAGCATCCGAGAAAAATACCAAATATTATTATATACTTGTTTAAAAATGGTTACATTGGTTTTAATGGAACAATGAAAGTGAAACAGTGACTTTTGGTCCCTATTTGATCAAGTATATTGTAAAAGTTGCAGTAGCTTTGAGATAACAGTTTAGAACAAATGACAAAACATGGTAATAGCAATCCAACCGACAGTAGATAGACAATGATCTATCTGAAATAATAGATACCGTAAAATCATACAACTATAGTCCTATTATACAACTATGATCCAAAATGACCTGTCCATTTTTATCTTTAAAAGTTCGAAAGTGCTGCCGCCAAGTGAATTTAATGTGTATCATTATTGCCTATGGGTATAAGTCTGATAGTTACCGCGCTTCTAACTAGATGGCAACACCGCTCGGTAAGGCAATCCGGCCGACAAATTGAACAAGTGTTTTATGGGATGACGAAACTTTTATTTGAAAACATTACTTGCAGTTTGTGCCGAGTTTCGCGGTTTGTTTTTGTTTGAAGGTAAGCTAATGGTGACTACTTTGTGCAAATAGTTTTTCACATATAGGTGTTGTTATAAAAATTAATCGAAAAATAATAATTTTTCGTACTTTGGTTTCAACAATACCTAGTCCTATGATTTTTTTGGACCATATTTAGAAGTTCATTTTTATTACAGGTGTGGATGGATGACTCACTGAAAATGTCCAGAAGAAAGCTAGGAGGCAGGCCATACAAGTATTATAGCGACAGACAGATGGAACTGTGCCTATCGGATATAGAAAACAGAGTATTAACTCAAAGGGAGGCGTCAGAAAAATATAAAATACCAAGATCTTCAATAATTCTGAAAATAAAAGCAATACGCAACAATAGTGTTCGCCCACCTGGTCGGCAATGTGTATTCACCACGAAAGAAGAATCCTCATTCGTCGATCACGCCATCCAAATGTGTCACTTTGGGTTCCCAATCACTTTATTTGACCTACGATGCATAGTGAAAACATATTTGGACAAGCAAGGAAGGAATGTGCCACAATTTTCAAATAATTTTCCAGGTCGTACATGGGCTCAACTTTTTTTAAAGAGACACAAATCAGAGCTTTCGCATAGGTTCTGCAGCAATATTAAACGTGTCCGAGCTGCAGTAAATGAAGAAGCTATCAAGAACTATTTCAATCATTTGAAAATGGAAATTGAAAATATCCCACCTCACTTGATTTATAATTACGATGAGACTAATTTAGTTGATGACCCAGGAAAGAAAAAAGTTCTAGCGAAACGTGGCACAAAATATCCAGAGGCTATTAAAAACTCAACGAAAGCCGCCTTTAGTCTGATGATGTGTGGAAATGCCGCAGGTCAACTGTTACCGCCATATGTTAATTACAAAGCTGAATATTTGTGGGACACTTGGACCGAAGGAGGACCTTCCAATACTCGATACAATCGATCTAAATCGGGTTGGTGCGAAGACCACAACATAGCGTTCGTCGCATTGCCGCCTAACAGTACACACCTTACACAACCGCTGGACGTGGCATACTTCCGACCTCTCAAAGTTCATTGGCGGAAAATACTGGATGAATGGAAATCTACGCGAGAAGGTCAAGTTTTGCCTACCATTCCAAAACAGACATTCCCTTCACTGCTTAATCAGTTATGGGAAAAAATTGCACCAAAAACTGAAGACAACCTAAAAGCTGGCTTTTTAAAAACAGGGATTTTTCCAACTAATAAACAGCCAGTGCTTGAGAGACTTCCTACGTTCAAACACCCTGAGCCAACCTTAGATCCAGAGGCCGTCGGAGAGTCATTCATCCAATTTCTTGAAAATAAGCGGCAAGCTGTAGTGTGTCAAGGAAAAGGAGGTCGCAAGAGAAAATTGAATGTATGTAGATCCCGGAAAAAGCGTATCTTCTGAAGAACTCAAAAGAGTCCTGTCCGAACCTTCAACCTCCACAAGAAACAAAAATGGAAGAAAGAAAAAAAAAACAGAAGAAGAAAACAGATTCGGAAACTGAAACAGATTCAGAAGAAGACCAGGCAGTGGAAACTATTGACGATTCAGATTCCGATGGCCCGCTAAATGAGGAAGCCGGCGATTGGGAAGATGAAAATATACAACAGCAGCATGATAGTTCTCCTCACAATGCATCGCTGCAATATGTTCCGGAAGATTATGTTGTCGTGGCGTATGAGGGGGAACTATGGCCTGGCCAGATAGAATCTATCGAAGAAGAAGGAGCCTACGTAAAATGTATGGCCCGTTCTGGACTGTTGTGGAAATGGCCAGAAAAAGAGGACAAAATATTTTACCCTCTCGGTGATATTAAATATAAAACTGAGGAGCCCAAAAAAATGAGCACCAAAAGGTCTTTCTTCCGAATTCCGGAGCTAGAAAGTAGGTGGGGAAATCCCAAAAAATAATTGTTTTTGTTTAATTTCTTTATCTTTTATTGCTTTTCTCAAATAATTTCTATGAATAGTTTGAAATGTTCCTATGAAAGATACGTTTTCTTTGTTCATTTGTTGACGTTTTAAGAAGAGTAGGCTATTTTGTTAAATTGATCTCAATTTGTACATTATAAATAAAAAAATAAGATTATTGATTGTAATTTGTAGTTTCTTTTTGCAGATATCACTTTCAATATATCTATTTTTGCATGAGACCCTTCCAACTGTACTACAAATTCGTATACGCGTACGTTTTCTTGGTGAAATTCGATCTGGACTATAGTTAAAAACATCATATGCAACTATGGTCCAATATTTAACAAAAAAATTAAAAAATAGGTTGGTATTTTTAAGCAATAATAACTACTACATATAGTCAGTAATTCAATAAGGTACAGTCTACATCAAATTCCTTCCCGCTGTTGGTAATAGACTTTTATATATAAGCTTACAAAGTAAATTGAATGTAGTTTTGGACCATATTTAGATGATTTTACGGTATTAATAAAGAGTGTTTGTTGCTGGCTACTATAAATGAGAGGCAAATTATGTTGTTCTACAAGACATCTTTTGAATTTTAATACAGTTTCCATGATGTCACCAAAAATGATTTATTTGTCCACAGTTCATTTGAAGAAGAAAAATGAATACAGTATAGACTCTTGACTTCATTCCATGCGCTAGAATTACTCAATCACCTATAATCCTATGAAATGGTTTATATAATGATTTTGAAAAAATATAACTTTTTTCTCCAAATTCGAAGTAGCTGAAAAATATTCCAGACATATTAATTATTAAAACATCTCTGCAAATTCCTTGTTTCAAACTTTTGGTTTAGAGCTGTAGTGCGGAACATAAAAATGCAAATGATAAGCTTTGCCAAATTTGTGTCCTGAAATGGCCTCTTGCCATTTCTTCTCATCCAGCTGAATATAAGGCCCTGTTCATTTGGTACCATAGCAGATATCACTCTTTTTACAGAACTGTAATTGTTTTATCCACCAATATGAGCAAGTTCTTCCATCTGAAAAAACAACCAGTTTACTAAATTGACACATTTGCTGCATCAAAAGATGTCGTCAGAATACTCAACAAATCTTTCACTGATGTATTAGAAATTCGATGGTTTACAGCCCATTCAGATAATATAAAGTTAACTGTTCCAGATTGAGGAACTGTTGCATATGACGAGGCAGATGCACCAGATTTTTGTTCAAGATCACCAGTCGTGTTTGTATGATATGTTTTGGTAGGCCTGAATATCCCTTATATCGAACTATAGTTGATTTTAGATAGGTTCATTCTGGTCTGTTGGATTACCGGTATCATTTTCAATAACAATAGAGTTTCCTTTTGCATCAGATCCTGTATCATGATGTATTTTCTCATATAAATCATAATTAAACCGCTTACCACGCACGTAATACTTTTTCAGGGAGGGGGGCGGGGTTTATAGTGTAGGAAGTTTATTACTTTTAACTTGCCGCAGCACTCACAAATCAACAATAAATTTACCTTCTTCATATCATCATCATGACATTCGCATTCCTGCTGAAATGATTGCCGCCCTACTTGGGCTCTTCTGGTTTCTTAGAATCGGGGAATCAAGCTGCATATTCTCGTTGCTTTTCTTCTACAACTGTTCATGTGACTTGGCCGAATTCACAACATGTCTCCATTCTTTTCTGTTCTTGCTGAGTTCCAGTTTCTGATCCCTAATGTTTCTATGTCTATTCTGACTTGATCGTCCCATCTCACTTTTGGTCTTCCTCTTGATCTAGCTCCCGCAGGTTTCTTAATCAGTGAATCATTACCTCTCCTTTCAATTTGTCCTGCCCACCTTAATCTTTGGGATTTGATAAATCTTACTATGTCTTCTTGATTCAAAATAGTCATAATCTCTTCATTTCTTAGTGGTCGAAGTCCTTCGTTATTATCCTTTCACTAGTCCCATTATCCTGCGTATGATCTTGCGCTCTAGTACTCGTAATTTCTCTTGGTCTTTCATTGTAAGGCACATGGTAATGTAATGGTATTTGCTCCGTATATAATAACTAGCCTGATTGCAACCTTATATACGTACGTAGTCGTGCCATAAGTTCTGTCCCATGATAATCTCATGATAAAAATGAAACAAGATAAGATATATTTATATGAAAGATATTATTTATTCGACAACATTTTTAGAATTCATAATCAAACAGTTTTATTCAAAATGTCCCCCCTTGGCCTTCACACACTGCTTCAATCTCGCGGGCCACTCATCTATCACTGCACGCACAGCTTCCAAAGGAATAGCTGCCGCTGATCGGATCAAATCCGCTTTCAGGGACTCGATATTGCGGTGGGCTTTGGAGCAGGCCAACCTGCTCTAGCAGGTCCCACAACTTGTAGTCTAAAGGATTGAGGTCCGGACTCCCTGAGGGCCAATCTTCCGCAGCAATGAACTCTGGCAGATTGCTTTCCAGCCAGCGCTGCGTACTCTTAGCCTTGTGAGCGGGGGCGGAATCCTGCTGGTAGACCCAGTGTTGG